CTGAGAGGAGATATGATGGCCATCTTCAAATATCTTAAGGGCTGTCACATGGAGGAGGAAGCAAGCTTGTTTTCTCCGGCTCTTGAGGGTAGGACTCAAACCAATGGCTTCAAGTTACAGGAAAGGAGATCCCAACTAAACATTCAGAAAAACTTTCTGACAGTAAGAGCCGTTCAGCAGTGGAACAAACTCCCACGAGAGGTGGTGGACTCCCCTTCCTTGGAGGTTTTCAAACAGAGGTTGGATAGCCATCTGTCATGGATGCTTTAGCTGAGATGCCAGCATTGCAGAGGGTTGGACTAGATGACCCTAGGGGTCCCTTCCAACTACAGTATATGATTCTATGAAAGCAGCATTCAGGACCTGGGCACATCTGGATTGTGAGGTCTCTTGGCCTAATGGAGTCTGAGCTTGTTGTGAGAGGTTTTTTCTTCTTTTGCAAGGCCCTGGCAAGGGAGTGAAAAATGCTTCAGGGTTCAGCTGTGTGCTGTGACTTCTCTCCCCAAATATTCAGAGAACATTTCAAGCGGCAGACATACCGGTAATTAAATGATGCACAGCTGGTGTGGAATATGCCTCGGGAGTGTTTGACTGCGATTCCCAGTGCACTTCCTCTTGAGTCAACACCATGGAAATCAAGGGGACTTACGACTAAGTCCATTTAGGGCTGGGCTTTCATAATTTAATTGGATGGCTGCTGCGCGAGGCTGTTCCCCAGCTTGATAGCCTATAAATCTGACATGGGAGTCAGGCTGTAAAAATTCTCCCAGTGGCTTAAAAAGGCTGTTTATCACAGCTGACTTTCAATTGTTTCCTTTTCTGTAGTTTGCACACAAGCGATGGCCCATTCCACAACTCGTAACTTTCATGAGAAACTAATTGCATGACAAGGGAAAAGGGACTTGCTCCATTTGTGCTCTCCCTCTCCTGACATTTCAGCAATAACCTCTGATGAAGCATCACACGGTTTCCTCGTGAAGATTTTATTCTCCTAATGTTTTATATTTTCAAGACTCCTCTGTGTGTGTGCATCCAGCACCACAGGCATAGAAAACCATAGGTCAGCCTTTGGCAACCTGGTGCCCTCCAGATGTTTTTGGACATCAACTCCCATCAGCCCCAGCCAGCACAACCACAAGGCAGAAGGGCCAATGGGAGCACAGCCATGCTGCCTGGGGCTGATGGGAATTGGAAGCAGAAACACCTGGAGGGCACCAGGTTGGGGAAGGCTGCTGCAAATACTTGCTAAATTTCTCACACAATCTCAGGCCTCTCCTTTTGCAGCTGGAGGCAGAAATGCTTCTGAATACCAGCCGCCAGAAACCACAGGAGGAGATGGGGCTCTTGTGAACCATCCTTGAGATTTCCCATAGGCATCTGACTGGCCACTGTGAGAACAGGATGCTGGTCTAGATGGGTCATTGGCCTGATCCAGCTCTTATGATGGGTGTGGTGGAGTTTAGTCTGCTCATTCCTGTTCACCCTTGTGGACAAATAGCCTTTACATGTGGCCTTTTGTCTGTGAACATTTCAGGACCCTTTGGGATGGATGGCATCTCATAAAAATGTCAGATGTGCTTATTGCGCCACGCTACTTGCCTTCATTGAGGCTGGAATGAGGCCTTCGTTTAGCTCTACAGTCACCCTTCGGAAAACAACAAACAACTCAGTTCTTTCCAATTGTTTTCCTCTTGTGCTAAGGACCATCTGGGTGCCATGTTGAACTTGAGAACTGATTTGTTGTCATGGAAATATCTGAAAAGCCACAATGTAATAGTAAAATAAGAAAAAGTGGTGTCGCTTTATGTGTCGTTCCTCTTTTACTTGAGGTGGAAATATCTGGAGTGCTTGGCAGTGGGCCCATTCTGTTTCAGTCCTGCTGATAAATACAGCTCTATTCACTCATAGCTCAAGATCTGGAGTCCTCTGGAAGGTGGGGCCCTGCCTGTTTCCATCAGTGAGCAGGTGCAGGTCACTGCTGAGGAGGGCGGACTGGGAACGGTCACCACAACAGTGTGTTCCAAACCATCACTCAACATGAGCCTGACACCTAACCTCCCACCGTCTATTAAGGTCCAATGGAAGATTCTTGCTCAGAGTTACTTTGTTTAGTGGGTTTGCTAACCTGTGATTGTGTTTAGAATGTTATAACTGCTTTTAGAATGCTAAAAAAAAAAAAAGTTTTATTGTGGATGTGTTTGCCACCCTGGGCAGATTGCAGAGGAACAGCTGTGTATGCTGGAAGACAGGACAAATAATAAAAATGTACTTCTTCACACAACACATAGTTAAACTATGGGACTCACTCTCACAGGAGGCAATGATGGTGACCAAATAGAGGGCTGGACAAATTTATGGAGGAGGATACAGCAAACAGTGGCTACTAGCCATGATGGCTCTGCTCTGTCTCCATGGTCAGATGCAGGAATGCTTCTGAATACCAGTTGCTGGAAGCCAGAGGAGGGGAGAGGGCTGCTCTTCTGCTCAGGGCTTGCTTTCCAGTTTCCAAAAAGGCATCTGGTTGGGCACTATGAGGGCAGGATGCTGGACCAGATGGCCTGTTGGCTTGATCCAGCCAGCTCCTCTGATGTTCTTGGTGCTGACCTTTAAAGCCCTAAATGGCCTCAGCTTTGTATACCTGGTCTCCACCTCCACCGTTCAGCCTGGAGACCGAGGTCCGGCTCTGAAGGTCTTCCCCCACTGTGAGATGTGAAGTTACAGGGAACCAGGCAGAGGGCCTTCTTAGCAGTGGCCCCTGCCTTTCTTTGACATCTCACTCATGTGACTCTTTGGCCTTTGCTTGGGTATCACACGAGCTGCCAAGGCAAGGAGAGCAACAACTGGCTAAGCTGACACATTGCCAAGGAGGATTCAGAAGGTTATACCACTGCACAGCACACCAGCTCAGAAAAGCTTTATTTCCTATAATGCAGTCAGCAACACAGTGCCCACAAATCCTCATGCTGTGCTTTGGTCTGCTGAGCTGCACAGCTGGCCATTGGTTAGGGCAGGGGTCTGCAACCCGCGGCTCCGGAGCCGCATGTGGCTCTTTTACATCTTTGCCGCGGCTCCGGGGCGGGTACTAGCGAGGGGAGGAGGCGCATTGTGCGCCCCGACACTCCTCACTGTGGCGGGCGCTGTACTGGCTGTGACGTCACATGGGGGCGGTGCGTGCGTTAGTCATGCACCGTCCCGACGTCACCTTCCCGCCCGCTGTCAGATCGCGGCTCCGGAGATATATTTGTTTTAAATGTCGCAATGGTTTTGCAGCTCCCAGTTGTTGTTTTTTCTTCGGAAACGGGTCCAAGTGGCTCTTTTTGTCTTAAAGGTTGCAGACCCCTGGGTTAGGGTGAGTCAGTTGGCTCAGGTGCTATCTGCTGGGGGTCAGCTGCCCCCTGCTTGCTCCTCCTGAGCTCCCCTCAGCCACCCCCCTCTGTTGGAGGGGAGACCTGGGAATGCTGCATGGACTGTGCTGACCACCCTGAACTCACCTGCTGCCTCAGGTGAGGTAGCAGATACTGCTTGTTCAACAGTGTTGAAGTTAGAGTCAGCTGCCGGTCTGCTTGACTCCTCTGCATGCTCCATGCAGAGAGAGGTGCCTTGGGCTGGCCCTGCTGAGCTGTGGCTCACCTGTTCTTTTTATGTGGGGATCCAGAGGCATTGGCTCACTCCTCTCCAAAAGCACACGCCAGACTTCAGCTAGATACAAATTAAGTATAGTGGTACCTCAGGTTACAGACGCTTCAGGTTAGATGCTTCAGGTTACAGACTCCGCTAACCCAGAAATAATACCTTGGGTTAAGAACTTTGCTTCAGGATGAGAACAGAAATTGTGTGGTGGCGGCGCAGCGGCAGCAGGAGGCCCCATTAGCTAAAGTGGTACCTCAGGTTAAGAACAGTTTCAGATTAAGAACAGACCTCCGGAACGAATTAAGTTCTTAACCCAAGGTACCACTGTAGATGGTTTTGGTTTTTTCTTTTGGGGGGTATGAAAGCTGCTGCTGCTCCTTCTAAAGAGACCTTTGGGCAGATACAGATGATGCACAACCAGTCATTTTTGTCTCTTTACTCCTGCTCCTTACTTCCTTTCATCTAGCCTGATGAAGAGTTCTGGGGAACTGAAAAGCTTGCACACAATTCTAGGACATTTTGGCTGTTCTCGGAAAGGTATTGGCTTCATAAAGATTTTGGAACATTTTAAAAACAGGTAACCTTTCCAATCTGACAGTATAGGTGGAATTGGTGCGCTAACTTTCTGCTGCCTCTATCAGGATCAGGAAACACTGATATTTAATAAATAAGCATCATGGGTGCCAACACAGAAAAGATCCTACTCCATCTTCCCTTGGATTTCCCCTCAGGAAATAGAGGGTGACTGAGGAAGGCTGCATCATAACAACACTATGAGCCTGCTGGATCAGGCCAAGGGCCCGTCTAGTCCAGCACCCTGCTCTCACAGGGACCAACCAGGAGCTCCAGTGGGAAACTTGCTATCAGGACCTGAGTCCTCTCCCCTCCTATGGTTTCCAGAAACTGATATTCAGAAGCATTGTTGCCTCCGGCTGTGGAGGCAGAGCAGAGCCACTTGCTAGTAGCCATGGAAAGCCTTCTCCTCCCTGAATTTGTTCAATCCTCTTTTGAAGCCATCCAGGTTGGCAACCATCACTGCCTCCTGTGGGAACAAGTGCCATAGTTTAACTATGTGCTGTGTGAAGAAGGACTTTCTTCTATCTGTTGTGAATCTTCCAACATCGCCATTCCTTAGGTCAGCCTTCCACAACCTGGTGCCCTCCAGGTGCTTTAGACTACAGCTCCCATCAATCCCAACTTCATATGGCCACGCTGTCCTGGAGTGGAGAGCAGTTGTAGTGCGACACATCTGGGGGGCACCTGGTTGGCAAAGTTGGCTTTAAAGAATTGGGGGAAACATATGGGGGGGTGAGGAGCCCCTTCTCCTTTTTTACTTTCGGCTCCTACATTTTAATTTCTCCCTCTTCCAGGTACATGGCCATTATCCGCCCGCTGCAACCAAGGCTATCGGCCTCAGCCACCAAGGTCGTCATCTGTGTCATCTGGTTCCTGGCTTTATTGCTGTCATTCCCGCAAGGCTACTACGCAACAACAGCCGAGCTCCCCGGCCGAGTGGTGTGTCTGGTGGACTGGCCAGAAAATACAACTCAGACCTATCAAATAACGTGAGTTCTTGTGTTTTCTTTGCAATAGAATCATCCTTGGGTTGTGGAGAGAACGCATGACATTGCCCCAATCCAGCAGAGTCCTGATTATCCTAGAAGATGCAAAGAACATGACATAAGAGCATGAGAAGACTTTGCTGGATCAGACCAATGGCCCATCTGGTGCAGAATCCTGTACTCACAGTGGGACCAGATGCGCCAAAGGAAACCAGCAAGCAGTATCCAGGTGCAAGAGACACTCCCCTCTTGTGGTTTCCAGCAGCTGGTATTCAGGAGCACTACGGCCTCCAGCCAAGAAGGCAGAGCAGAGCCATCTTGACTTATAGCCACTGATGGTCTTGTCCTCCATGAATTTGTCTCATCCTCTTTTAAAGACATCCAAGTTGGGGGGCCATCACTGCTTCCTGTAGGAGGGAGTTCCATAGTTTAACTGTGTGCTGCATGAAGAAGTCCTAGGGTAGAATCATGCTCAGGTTCCCAATGTCAACTAGAGGAAGGCTCCAATCCACACAATTCTATAGTCACTTTACCTTTTTTTGGGGGGGGGAGCCCTCAGCACCTCCTCCTGCACTTCCTGGCCTGAGGATGTGATTCTCCAATCACCTCCAAAGTCTGAAGATGCTACCCCAGAAGCTGCATTTGTTCTACAGTCATGAAGAAGCATGTGGCTGCAGAACTGACCACAGGCCCTTTAAAGATAGCACACAGGTTTTTCTCAGGGTTGGGGAGCCCTCAGATGAGTCTGGGAAAGCAGCATCTTCCATACCACAGACAAGAGGGCCTGGCAGAATTGTGGTCCCTTCCCCTGTGCCCATCAGAGCAGCATAGACATAGAATGACAGAACTGTAGAGGTGGAAGGGACCCCAAGGATCATTTAGTCCAGTGTTGGCCAAACCTGGCCCTCCAGCTGTTTTGGGACTACAATTCCCATCATCCCTGACCACTGGGCCTGTTAGCTTGGGATGATGGGAGTTGTAGTCCAAAACAGCTGGGGGGCCAAGTTTGGCCAACACTGATTTAGTCCAACCCCCTGCAATGTTGGATCACAGCTAAAGAATCCCTGACAGATGGCCATCAAAACTCTGTTTAAAAACCTCCAGTGAAAAAGGGTCCACCACCTTCTGAGATGGTCAGAAAGTTCTTAATTTTTAGTGAGAATCTCCTTTCTTGTCATTTGATTCCATTGGTTCAGGCCCTGCCCTCTGGCGCAGCAGAAAACGAGCTCGCTCCATCTTCCATGAGACAGCCCTTCAGATATTTGAAGATGGCTCTCATATTTCCTCTCAGTCTTTTCTTCTCCTGTCTAAACATGCTCAGTTCCCTCAACTGTTTCTCATACGGCTTGGTTTTCAGACCCTTTATCGCCTTGGTCACCCTCCAGTCATGTTGCAGTGCCTCAGTTTCCCCTGAGTAATGAATATTGCTACATCTAGTTCAGCCCTTTGTTTCCTGCAGTTACTCTGGGGATATCCAGCAGCTTCTCTGAAATCCCAAATCTTCTCTGAAATCCATTGGGTTCAAACAGTACTGTCACTCTCCACAAAGAGGTCTGTTCCCATTTGGATCCAAAGTCTGTTTAGCAGTGTTGCATATTCTCTGTGACTGCCTTACCTGACCTGATTGGGAATCTGTGGGAGCATCACTTTTTCTGACATGCAGTTCCATGTAAATATGATGCCATCTCAGACACTGAGGTCATCATTGCAACAATAACACTAGCTGGGGGTTTGGCTGTCCTGCTAAAATGGCAGATATCAGGATTTGTAGCTCATTGTCCAGTTATGTAGCTTTATAAATCTTGTCCTGGTAAGAGACTTTGGGGTGTTTTGATTAATGCCTTCTTTCTCCTCTGGAACTTCCTTTGCTTCATGTAAGTTGAATATTTCACAGTCTCGTTTGTCTGTCTATATTTCCTGCAGCCAGTGTGACTTTTACAGCAAATTCTCTATAAACATCCGATTTCTTTTCTTCTTCTTTAAGATGGTGCTTCTAAGCCCAAGGGATAGTGTTGCATCTGCTGGGAGCATTTTGGACTGGACAATAACAGCTTCTTTAAAATGGCTCTCAGTGGTTTATGAGCATTGTGTCAACTGAGATAGAAATTTGGCCTCTTTTGTGCTGGTTGATTCCAAGGAAAATACGATTGCTAGACATTCTTTTCCCCATTTGGACACACTGCTGCTAATTCAGTGATAAATTTCTTGACACAAACATGGCAAGCTGTGCATTTTGCAAAAGGAGGTTCACCAGGGCCACTTTCACTGGCAGTGGATATGTCATAATATTTTGAAGCAGGGTGATGGATAAGTAAAGCACATGGTTGCAGGGAGCTGGTGAAAGGCTTGCATTTATTTTTGTTTGTTTGTTTGTTTGTTTGTTTGAGATATTTTCTTGGTTTAAAGAAGTACATGCCTTCTCTCTCTTTTTTCAGGTTGTGCGGTCTTTCTTACACATCAGTTACGTTTGTTGTGAGACATTAGTGTTGAGTACAGTCTAAGGTTGGGGAAGAAGAGGGGAGAGAGGAGAGGTGGGGTGGTGAGGCTTTGTATAGTGTATGTGTGGGGTTTTGTGTCAGCGTGAACTGGATAGCTTCTCTTTCTATTTGCTTATTACATTTCCTTGGTAGTGAGAGGGATTGGGGGAGTCCAGGGTGTGGTTGGTTGTCTGTAGTTGGCTGCATTTGTGAGTGCGGGGGGAGGGCTTGTTGGGTCAGGGAAGCCAGATTGATTCATATGCTGTCAGTGGATTCTTCTTGTTGTCTTGTTGGGCTGTGTATGTGATAAAGAGGAGCCATACTGGGGTGAAGGAGTCCTCTTCTATTTGTCTCAGTTTCAGTTTATTGGTTAGCTTTTCTAGTAAGGCCGTTTCCCATACAATTTGAGACCATTGGTCCATGTTTACTCCTGACAGGTCTCTCCAGCATCTGGCTATGAGTCTTCTGGCTGCTGAAAGTAGATAGGTTATAAGCTCTGTATAATGTGAGTGGTCATTATGATCTTGGAAGATGTTCAGTAGGGCCAGTTCTGGGGTGAGTTCTAATACCTGTTTAGTTATTTTGCATATCTCTTGTAGGACTGCTCTCCAGAAGGGTTGGATTTTAGGGCATTCCCACCATCGCATGTTTTATCCTTGCTCCCAAACTGCAGGTTTATTTGACTATCTGTATACCAACTTTTCAAAGTCTTCTAGTCATTTGTACGTCCAGCACCTTCTTGCTGCCTCCTTGCCTCTTAATACTCCCTAGGTGAATTCCACTGGTCCCCAGGGGGCAGCACTGTCCACCTAGGGAACCAGTGGGTTTAGAGTGTTGGACTATGACCTGGAAGACCAGGGTTCAAATTCAGCCATGAAGCTTGCTGGGTGACCTTGAGGCTGTCACTGTCTGTTGGGTATCTGAGGATAAAATAAATAATAACATTACGATTATTAGTTTGGTGTTTTATTATGTTAAGAGTGGCTGGGGAAACCCAGCCAGATGGGCAGGTTGTTGTTGTTTGTTTGTTTGTTTGTTTGTTTGTTATTAAACAGGAAAAGAGAGAGCCATTTATACGATCTTGAGCTTCTCAGTGGTAAGATGCAATGGAATGAATGTATGTATGAATAAATGAATACTATTAAAAATAAATTTAGATGCCCCATTAAATCAACATAAGATCATGCTTGGGATCCCTGGCTACTTCTCAGAGGACCTGCCCCACCATCCATAACTTGTGGCGCACTGGTTTGGATGCCCAAACAACTCTGCTTTTGCCTTGGAGACAAGTGCCCCCTGACACCCGCCCCCAGAAATGGAGATATTACCAGTTTTCATTACCAGAAGGTCATTTGTTTTGACATCATATTTTCATTCAGCTCAGAGAAATTGGCTCGTTTCCTCGGCAGCCAATTTATTACCGTCATGATCCATCTTTCTGTGCTTAGCAAACATTGTTCCCATAACCAATCTGATTATCTGCCTTAGTTGAAGCATTTTAGTGAGTCCGCAGCTTGCATTTTAGATGTTGGTTTCTATAACTGGATTTCAGATGTCACTGTGGATATTGCAATGCTTTCCAGCATTCTATTTCCTGCCTCTGATTTGCTGGAGTGAAATATGAGGCATATAAATCAACTGGTCGGTGGGGACAGGGAATGTCGGGAGATGGTTGTTAAATGTGAAGCCTGCTGCTCTCATTCAGGGGCCCCTTCTCTGTTGTCTTCACGGAGCCCCTCGCCCCCATTTACAAGAGCTTTCCCATGCATTATAATGGCGAGAACTGCTTGGGATGTACAAGCTGCCGCGTCCCAGTACTGAAGGCTAGTTTAACAGCTGATCTATGTGTGCTCCCAGAAGCATGCAGAGGTCTGGACTGAAGCCATGTACTCTTCTTTTGCAGGCTGAGCTTTATAATGTGATCTTTATTAGGGGTAGGTGAAACCTGTCTCATTATTCAAGTTACAGATAGGTAGCCGTGTTGGTCTGCCATAGTCAAAAAAAAAAAAAATTCCTTCCAGTAGCACCTTAAAGACCAACTAAGTTAGTTCTTGGTATGAGCTTTCGTGTGCTCATTTTGTTTCGTTTCGTTTTGGTATCTGAAGAAGTGTGCATGCACACGAAAGCTCATACCAAGAACTAACTTAGTTGGTCTTTAAGGTGCTACTGGAAGGAATTTTTTTTGTTTTGACTATGGCAGACCAACACGGCTACCTATCTGTAACTGGAACTATGGAAGGCACCACATTGAGCCGCATGAAATGGAAGTCCATGGTATCTGAAGAAGTGTGCATGCACACGAAAGCTCATACCAAGAACTAACTTAGTTGGTCTTTAAGGTGCTACTGGAAGGAATTTTTTTTGTTTTGACTATGGCAGACCAACACGGCTACCTATCTGTAACTGGAACTATGGAAGGCACCACATTGAGCCGCATGAAATGGAAGTCCATGGTATCTGAAGAAGTGTGCATGCACACGAAAGCTCATACCAAGAACTAACTTAGTTGGTCTTTAAGGTGCTACT